TTTTGTTGTTCAGAGTTGACGTTTATGAATGAATGAATTGTAGTTTCTCTGTCTCTGGTCGCCTACCTAGGCCAGGCTAATCGTTTTTCCACACATTGCCAAGTGCTCAATTCTGCGGACATTAAAAGAAGTAGATCGCGTTGATATGAACCATTCTGTCAGCTGAGGGTAGCTGTATATATTATATCTTGCTCCTTTCCATTATGGTTGATAGTCGCGGTTCCACGCTTAGCACAATCTGACGCTCTTGTCGATTCTAGTGTGCTTGGTATCACACGGCTGCTACCAAGATAGGCCAGATAATTGGTGGAAACCCTCATAGTTACTCCTAGAATGCCGGTGTAGTGGTTTACGATTGAGAGAGAGAGAGAGAGAGAGAGGTATTTTGAGGTTGGTTGGGTTCTCACCGAATTCTGCGGACACTATCAGAAGTGGATTGCATTGATATCAACCACCATGTTAGGGTAGCTGTTTGGTTTATATCTTGCTTTCTTCCATATGCATTGGATGATAGTTAAGGTAAAAATTCACGCCCGTAGATAATATGCTGGGATAATTAGGTTTTTCATTGCTTAGCAGACGTTTCTGTCCATTCTAGTGCGCCTGCAAGCACTCGTCTATAATTACTAATATAGAAGAGATTATTGGTTGAAAGTTGAAACCCTTGCAGTTGCTCCAAGACTGTTGGTAATATAGTGGTTCATTCTGAGGTTTTTTTTTTTTTTTTTTTTTTTTTTTTTAAGGCCCTTGTGCAAGGCCTATATCATGGTGGTGGTAAGAGAACCACCGGGATTGAGGCTTTGCCTGGCGGGCCGCTCCCATCTGTTGGTGGGGAAGCAACACCTGCTGGAAACCGGGTCCAGCGTCGGTTTCTGAGGTATTTTGAATGTGGGTCAGAGCGAGACCCTGGGAACTACCAGCAGCGGCGCCACCTTGAGTAGCTGGAGTGTAGCAAGAGGCGGTGGGAACGCTACGACTCGGAGTAAGATGGTAAGAGAGACCCGGTGAAGAGCAAACTTGAGCTGTACCCATTGTGATCGCTAGTCGTGAAGATCCAAGGGTGCGTGGTGGGAAACCCGTCATGGCAGCTCAGGCTTTTTACAGTGTTTTGCATAGGAAGGATATGAGGGTAGCTATGATAGAGGTGAGGGGATCAGTGTACATGAGTCACGAGACATCGAGACGTTGTATGACTGTGAAAAAAAAAACAAAAAAAAAACATTATTTTCCCAGGCTTAACAGGCTACCGCTGATTTCCTGCCAAATCCACAATGCCTGACAGTTGCACACCTTAAACACTAATCCACATACATCGGTAGTGGGATCTCGCTCCTGAAGTAGGGAAAGCGTGTGGGTTGTGTCTTTCATTAATTAAATAAAGTATTATATTAAAAAAAAAAAAAAAAAAACGACTTTGCGGGAAGGTACTGTATAGGCTGTACTTAAAAATAAATAAATAAATAAATAAATAAATGCTAATGATGATGTTCATGAAAACGGATGCAGGAGCTGTTCTTGACGACAAAGAGAAATATCGTTTTCAGAGACTTCTAGAGTGGGAAGGACGTCCACCGGAGGTAAAGACAAAAGACAGACAGCATGCAGACCTTTTTTTTTTTTTTTTTTCCTAAGCGTTTTTTTTCTGAAGTTTTTGTTTTGTTTAAAGTTTAAACGTTTTTTTTTGTTTTTGTTTTTTTGGAAGAAATGTATCATGTATTTCAAATATGGAAATAGAGGCCGGGAATTCCTCAACAAACAACCCGGACACTGGGGCCATTACCCAGATAAGGCTTGTGCTGGAAACCGCGTCCAGCGTCCCTTCATTTCCTTGTCTGTAAACAATCCTTCCAAAGTAAACCTTAAAGCTCAGGAATTCAAAAGCGAGAAAGACAGCAGGTCTTTTCCAAAGTTCCTCCGATAGGTATATCAAGCCTACTACTCTGCCTTTCAAAACCTACATCTCGTACCAAACTTTTATATCTGTCGCTGCTACAGCGCAGCAGATTTATTCAAAGTTCAAACCACCAGGGGGCAATTACCAGGTTTCCTTCTGCCGAGATCTTCGGACGCTGGGCCCAGTTCCCAGCACGTGTTGCTCCCCACAAATAGATTGGAGCTTTGTTCCCATTAAAAAAAAAAAGAAAAAAAAGAGATCTTTGCAAAGTTCCCCTTAAACCACCAGTACCTCCGAGCCTGTTTTTGCCGACCCTGATTTATAGTGCGCGCCGATTTTTACCCAGCCTGTGTCCCGCGGTACTTTTCGTTTTCGGTAGTTGTTTTTTTTTTTGGAAAAGTTGCGTTTTCACTTTTGGGCAGTCGGCCTCTCGCATAGTCGGACGGGATACCTGTGGTCGGTGGCATTGCGGGAGGCCGTCACAATTTTTTTATAATTTATTTTTTTTGTTTTTCCCGAGGGCTGTGAGGGCCGTGTTGGTTCGCCGGCGACCGGTAGTGCGTTTGGTTGGTCGTCCGCGCGCCGGCCGACAGACGGTTGCCGAAGGACGGTTGCCATCGCCAGCGGCGCGTCCCGTCGTCGCGCGCGTCTGCGTGTGTGTGTGTGTGTGTGTGTGTGTGTGTGTAGAGGCCAACGTGTGTGTGTGAGGTCCAATCGCCGGTTCGGATGACATCATGTCTTCCCGGCGATTGGCTATCATGCGTGCATGCCACGAAGTTCACACATGTGTCACCTCACGTC